TCTATATATAGATCTATATATAGATCTATAGATCTATCTCTCGCGCCCACACACACTAACATACACACACACACACACACACACACACACACACACACACACACACACACACTGGGTGATTGATGACTTTAAAGTTAAAGGCATGCAGTTTTTAAAATTAATCGTCAGTATTTTTTTTGGTTGTTCTGTGGTTGTTTTTTTACTGTCTTGAAAAACCATGTATGTTACAAAAGCAAACTTTTATTAATGCCAGAAAAATGAGGAAACCCCAAAAGTAGGCTATTCTCTTCATTCCAGGTGTTTCAAAATTAGACATACATGTGTATCTGAACTTTTGGATCCAACGTTTCGAAGAAAATTATATTTTTCTTAAACTTGATGAAGAATAGTGTTCTTTGTTATCCAACTTCTTAGCGATGAGCTATGTTCTTGAAACATTAAATAACGGGATTCCGAACAAAAGCGAACTAAAGTATTTCCCCGTTGGTTTCGTAGTCCCGATAGGTTTTCGGGTGTTGGTTTGAGTAAAGAGAAGCACGTAGGCACAATGATGATCCCACGGTGCTGAGAAAAAGTAAGACAGACAGACAGACAGATAGACAGACAGAAAGACAGACAGACAGACAGACAGACAGACAGACAGACAGACAGACAGACAGACAGACAGACAGACAGACAACATCAACAGAATGAAAGTAAAGAAACTGGACCTATCAGTGTCTCATTCTCTACGTATTATTTCGGGCTTGAGGACGAATTTTTTTCGGGAAGTCGAAATTAGATTATGACTAGATCTAGTACGCAGTTCAAAGGTCTACAAATTCAAATAAATATCAAAATATTATACACCGAAATTTTCAGTATGATTTGTAGAATACATCTGTATTGTTCATTTGTGTATTGTTAAACTTTGGTTCCTGTAAGAGACGATTATGCAACACAATTTTCCTTGGATGCGGATAAAATTTGAAAATTTAAAAAATGATCATCTTTGGTGAAAAATCACAGTTATTTACATTCATGCCACATAATTTTTAAAACTGGATCATAACATCAAATATTGAAAACAAATATCTACAAGAACTTATCAGTATATATAAACCAGGGAGAAACCTAAGATCATCGAACGATAACACCCTACTTGTGACACCTGTAAAATCATACAAA